CCCGGCTCCACTCAGGCACAGCAGCTCAAGCATCCGTGACATTCCCGGGCCCTTCCAGAGCCTGGGATGGGAAACCAGGCACGGCCCAGGCCTGCCAGTGATTGCCTGTGGCAGGAAGGACAGCCTGGGAATTGGTAATGTCGGTGACTTCATCTGCCAGCTGCATTCCCACATCTTTACTACCTGAATGACTGAGCTGCTGCCAGGCAGCACTTTGTGCTGTGCAGGGCTGGGCAATGAATATTTGATTGTGCAGACAACAGAGAAGAGCTCGGCTGGTTTAAGGTGTGACAGCACAAGTGTTGATTCAATTCCAAGGGAAGAGAGCACTGCTGGACAGTAAGGATTTGTCCCGTGGTCCCTGTCTCCCAGGTGTGGGGATGAACAATGAAACGGCCTTCGAAGGCAGCAGGGAGGGAGGGGAGGCCAATTCCCTCCCCCACAGAACCCAAGTCAATCCTCCTGTTCATTAAACCCTCTGCAGGCACAGAGTTATCTGTCCATGACCAGCCAGTCGCACACAAAAGAAAGGGAAGTACTAAATTACAAGCTGATTTTAAGTGGGCATTGATTGAAGTAACCAGAAGAGAGCTTAGTGTTGTCAGAGTTTCATACAACAGTAATAAACAAGCTTCATTAAAAAATTATGTGCATCCCTAAGAAGCACAGCCAGGTTTCAGATGAGAACATTAAGGTGCCCTCCACCCCACACACAATCAAAGAGGGGGGAAAAAAATTCCTCAGGATCTTTTTCTCCTACAAATTTAATTTTGTTCATTAAATAATACCATTCATTAAAATCCTTCCCACTCTAACTTCTGCTTTGGTCCCAAGCAAGAAAGAAACAAAGATTCTATTCTATGATCTCCTCCAAGCAGGAAAAGGTTGATGCAAAAAAAGAGATCAGACAACTTCTTTGTCAACGTTCTCCTACACCACCAATGATGCAACCAAGTCATTATTTGGCTGCTGGGTGTCCAAAACCTCTTTGTGTGAGGGAATAAACACAACTTTTCATACACACAAATGCAGCCACTTCCCTTAGCTGAGCAGGGCTGACTCACTGAGCACACCTGAGCCCACACATGTGCTGCAGTCTGAGGGCAACACTTGCCCACACACTCAGTGCAGCTGTGTGAGCACATCCACTGTGCTCAGGAACTGCTGCAAACCTTTTCCCTGGGGGTTCTCTAGCTCTGAACGCTCAGAGTTGTCTGTACAGGTATCCCAGCCTCCCTACACCCTTAATTTCTGTATTATGGATTATTCATGGAGCTCTATCAGCTTTGATTGTTCAGGTATGGAACACATATGATGTGCATCACTCCTCCCCAGGCCATAGCATGAACATTCAGAAAGGTGCCTGGAAATACTCAACTGCATGTCTGGCCTATGCTCATATTTTCTACATTAGTCCCCACTATCCTGTAGCTCTGCTCAGCTGGCCCAAGATCAGATCTAATGCACAGCAAAAAAAGAGGAAGAGCATTCAATGCACACCTGTAATGCAAGATTCCCAAATCCTGCTTGCAGGGTGGTTTTCTGAAACACAGGACAGGTCATTCAGCACCAACTTTTCTGGTCACACCACAGATTGTGGTGCAGGGTTGGTTGGTTTGGGTGTGTAAAAGGTGTGACCTTCAGCTGCAGCATCTCCTGCACATGGAGCCCCCTTTAAGGCTTTTCTTTCATCTCTGGTGTCTAATAAAGTCTTAAATACAACCTGACTTACTAAGGCTCACCTCAGCTGTGTCACAGCCAGAGCACACTTTGGGAAGGACGGACACAGAGACACTCCTGACACACAGTCAGCAGCTACTGCCTGCACAGCACTGGCTCTCCTGCTGCATTATCAGTAAAAGCTTCCTGCTTTATACAGATTTAAACTCAGTGTTGTCCCTTTAACATCTCCAACTGGCAATCTGGAACAGCAGCTGGAATTACAGCGTGTTTAATCCTTCAGGGTATATTCTCTCCACGATGCACACGACTAAAATGTGTGCACTGAGGGACAAATGTCCAGTAGCTTTAGGTGACTGCAGCTTTGCAAACTTCCCTTCAAGATTTGATTTTAAAAAAATGAACCAGAGAAGAATACCTCAGGAGAATTTTGAGTTGAGATAACCTGCCATATTGAAATATACCTTTTTTTTTTTAATTTATCCGAGGAATGGTTATAAAAACAACCATCCAAGTTAAAATAGCATTGCAAAATTTCCTTATTGATAACAGCATTAGTTTTGTAAGGAAATCTAAAACCCATGACATACTTCTTAAAGGCAGATTTTTGAAAATTACCTGACTGTCATAAGCACAACCCCAGTTTTACAGATGTGAAAATCATGATTAAAAAAAAAAAGGCACATAAATTTCTTATTAAATGCAACAACAGAGTTGTCACCAACGGGGGGAGAAGGAAGGAAGCCATCAAGAATGGCAGGAGGATAATGGGAGATGATAAACATGTACTTGAAATCTTTTGCTAGGAAGAAGAAGTGATGAGTCAGATAAGCAGAGGCGCCACATGGGTTGTATCTCCAAGCAACAGGCAATGAAACCTCCAGATAAGCATCTTCATAAAGTGCAACGGGCTCAAATCACAGGTCAGAGCTGAAGAATCACTTCCTGGGTCAGCTCAGGCAGGAAAAATTTATGACCTACTTAAAAAAAGTCCTTCAAACCTAGAAATGTATTTTCCATAAAGAACATCAGCCACTCGGGGCACGCCCTGGGAACAGCAGGAAATGGGAATCATTGCAGCACCAAAATGCAATGGTGTGCATGAGCAGTGTTTAAATAAAACCTTCACATTCAGAGCTGAGCTCAGTGTCATTTTCTGCACATCTCAGAGATGGGAAGAGAAAAAAAATCAGCATAAAATACTCTACTTTGCTGGGCCCTGGTACAAGAACATCTCAAAGTCTCAGAACACAGTGTATGGTTTTTCCTTGTGTCTCCTTTACTCTGTAGCAGAATTCACAGCCCTGCACCATCACACATAATCTAAAGTTTGCCCTAATTTCTGCATGGGAAAGGACAGGGCTCAGGCAATACAAAAACTGATAATAGATGGTGAAGCCCCTGAATCAAAAGTCAATTCAAATCCAACCTGTCTGGCAGTGAAGTAAATAAATCCCTGCCATCAGCATGTGCCTTACAAACCCCATGTATTGTTTATAAGAAACTTATGAGGTGCTACAACAAAACTGAGTCACTGCTGTACAGTAAATATATCTTCAGCATCCTAAAAACTTATACAATGGACTGTGGCAACTGTAATATGGACACATATGTTAAAGGCATTAAAAATGGAGCTTCATCACCTTCACATGGGCCAGTTCATATTAAAGCTCCATCCACACCTCAGGAAAAGTTGTTTAGCATGGAAGAGCTACAAGTCCTATGTGTTCATTGCTTCTACTGGAGGTAGAATAACAGTTTCAGAATGGTCATATTTCAGAATTATTACACATCCCTGTCACAGGTAAAGGCACTGCCCCTACACAAGAGGGAAAATTCCCCACCCTGATAATCCTGATAGCTCTTTCTGTACCAGCTGATAGGGAGGAACAGCTCTGCCATTAATCACTCTGAATCTCCAGTGTCACACACACAGACAGAAGCACTCCTGTGATTCAAACTTGTAACCTTTCAGGGCTATCAGGTATAGATGAACCAGTCAAAAAAAAAAAATCATAATGGATGCATCGATGTTCTCTTCTGGATCAAACAATTATTTTCAAAATTACTCTGTCTTGTAGTAAAAGAAACAAAATTCCCCTTAAACAACCAGCATCAGATGCTTGTCTAAGCTCAATGTGAATTAATTTAATGACTTTTAAATATTTGAAAATGGAATTTATAATGACAATTCTCAATATCCAAAGTAAACGTGGTTATTATCGAACTCAGTTATAAACACATATAAGAAATACCCTGCAATACCCAAATAAATTCATTTGGCAAACAATGGAGTGTCTTGGACTCAGCATTTATATCAATAGCAGAGTCTGAAACAGGAGCTTTTATTTTAACTCTCTTTAAACCACCCTTCAGAACCCTGTTTCTGTATGTGTTACAGTCTCTCTTTACAGTTTAACCTCAATCCAATCAGCAGCCTCCAGGGATTTTCAAATCGCTAAAGATTAAAATCCTCTCTGACTTGACTGTTTGACTAATGCTGTGTGTTTAATAATTCTACTTGTGAGAGATTTTATTTGACAAAATCCTGCTGTGTGGACCCTCAGATGCTGCACAGCTGCACTGGAATATAAAGCTCTGCTGCCCTTGTTTCTTTAGACAGGCTACACCCCACCACTGAGGGGAAAAAGAGAACTTTATAGTACATATATTACTGTGTTGATATTAACATAACCACTGTGGTATTAAATTTACACACTCCTTCAGAGCAGAGTAGTGAAAATGTGCCCATTACACAAACATCAGATAAACTCTCCTGTTGTCCTGACTGTTCACAGAAATCAATTACATTTATGATTACATTTCAATGAAAGCTCTTTTATAAATGAGATGGAACTGTAATATTCTCTGCTTCGGGCATTCATTAATAAAAGCAGTTCAGTGTTAGTATTTGTAAATGTTCTGCTTTTTAGTTTAGGCAGATTTTAGCATTCTAGAGCTCGTGTTAAACCTCACGTAAACAGTGTGTCCAGATCTTACCACAACGCTGCGACTTCACATTTGAGTGGTAAGAGGGGAAAAAAACCCAAAAAACAACAAGTCCTCATTATGGCAGCACTCAGTGAGTATTTGTATAACAGCACTTACTCCGGTGTGCAGCTGAAAATCACGATACCCCCCAAGCCTGTGGCAATGGTTAGTGAACATTTACCAGAGAAAAAACCAGCAGGTTGATGAACACTGACTGAAAATCACAATACCCCTCAAGTCTGTGGCAATGGTTAGTGAACATTTACCAGAGGAAAAAAACCAGCAGGTTGATGAACACCACAGAAAACCAGAAATGAAGGTGTTCCTACCTGAAGTAGCGTCGATGACTGTGGAGACCCCTCTGCGGTCGGCGGCGGGCCGCGGTGACCCCGGCATGCTGACGGGCTCCGAGCGCACCGGCTGGATCCTGCGGGACACACACGGTCACCTCGGGGCACAGCCAGGCCTGAGCCCAGCCCTCAACCAGCTGGAGCCATCAACCATCGACTGTTTGTCTCGAAATGTGCTCGAAGCTGTCTAAAACTTTGGTTTCCCTTCTCCCAAGATCTGGAGAATCCATCTGGAGATGGACTGAGACTCACACAAAGGGAGTGTTCCCGATGGGAGCTCTCAGGGAGCCTCAAATGGAAGTGCTCCCCCCCACCCAAGCTGCTTAAAAAGCCTCCAGCACCTCCTCAACAGCAGGTGTTGTCACTTTAGGAGAAACGACTCGTTTGTAACTGCCCACTACTTTAGTAACATAGATCCACCTGAGTATTTTTTGAGACTTACACAAAGGGAGTATTCCCAAGGCATGGCTCAGATGGGAGCTCTCAGGGGGTCTCAAAGGGAAAAGCTCACCCTACCCAAACAGGTTAAAAAGCCTCCTTCCCCTTCTGAACAGCAGCATTTTTTTTTGGTAATTTTAGGAGAAAAGACTCATTTATAGTTGTTCATTCCTTTTGTAATGCAGATCCATATTAGTATTTTTTGAGACTTACACAAAGGGAGTATTCCCAAGGCATGGCTCAGATGGGAGCTCTCAGGGAGCCTCAAAGGGAAAAGCTCACCCCACCCAAGCTGCTTAAAAAGCCTCCATCACCTCCTCAACAGCAGGTGTTGTCACTTTAGGAGAAAAGACTCATTTGTAATTGCCCACCCCTTTTGTAACACAGATCCACATGAGTATTTTTTATTTCAGTTTTCTTTCTTCATACACACACAGATATACAATAAAAAATAATATGTTTGACAGCCATATCCTTACTCATGGCAATAATTGTAAACAAGGAGAAATCACACATTTCAAACCCATGGATTTCCAGTCCAAGGACAGTCTGCCCAGTTTTAACGGGATTAGTCATAATATCCATCTCTCTTATTTTACTGCTAAGAGTTTCAGACAGAGTCCCAAACCATCCAAGTCCCTACCACAGAACTCTGGACTCCAAATCACATGAGGAGTCAGAAGCATGGAAACTTGTTAAATCTAGAGGTCCTGGACACAAACACATGGTGCATAAAGCTCTTCTACAAACCACCAGCAAATACAAACCCACAGTTGCCTTCACTCTCCTTCCTTCCCTTCCCTAGGCCCAGCCCCTGCCCCCAGTTCCAAATCAGCCAATGTCCAAAACCCGATGAATCAAATACATGAAAAAGAATTACAGGGAAGGAACCAAAGGAAGGGGAAAAAACCCAAAAACCAGGGAGCAGGAAAACATTCCAGAAGTTCACTTACTGTTCCAACACACTGACCGCTGATAGTCAGCATCTAAATCCAGGGCACAAAGCTCCCACTCATGGCTGAGAAAATGGATTTATTAGAGGATGCTGAGCAAGGCCACCAGGCTTTGTCCTGTCTTTCCCTGTCGTGTGCCCAAGAAGGGGCAGCAAAAGGAACCTGAGCTGCTTGGCCTGCGTGGGTTTTTACTGTGGGTGAGTCACGCGCTCTTCTGAGACTTTCATCTGGCCAAGCCTGGTGAAAGCTGTGACACATCCTGCACAGATGGCCCCGTTTAAGCAGGAGGCGAGTTATTCACACAACGAACGTGAAGCAGCTTGGGAAGGGGTTGTGTTTTTACCTGAGACTGTTGAGATCGAGGTCGTCCGTGTCGAAGTCCAGCAGCGGCTGGGGGGTGTCGCTGGGGCCGTGCGACTGCAGCACCGACGAGCTGGAGGAGATGACGGTGGTTTGGCCCGAGGGGTGGATTGTTTTGAACTGGAACTGGGGGCCCATCCACAGGCGTCGGTGGGGCCCCGTGTGAGTCACTATTTCGACCTGTGGGAAGGGAATGTGGGAAATGATTAATGCAATGAGTGGTTCCCTCCGAATGCTGAGCGCCCGGAGCCCGGCCGTGTTCAAGGGAAAAGGGTGTTCGGAGCCGTCCATCTGGAGGAGGGTCTAACAAGGGAAAGTCTGGAATGTCTTTGCTAGAGAAAAGATGTGTTAGCCAAAGCCAAGAGCTTCTGGCAGAGCCTTGAAAGCCCATGAACCTCCAGCCTGAGGACACTGAACCCCGGTTCTTAAATTGTTCTGAAGACTGACGCTCCATCCTGGCCATCCCCTCACCTGCTCCTGCTCATTCCTCCCCTTGCCATGATGAAATATGTGCTCTAACTCGAACACAACGAAGCTGCCCTTGTGGTGTAACCAACAGGGGAACACATTCCTGCCTAAATCTGCATGGAGCAGCCAGGGAAAATCCCATCCCGACCAGGGCCAAGGGATGCTCTTTTGGGAATCTCATTGCAGCTGCTTTGTGGAAGTTCACACCTTTAACAGCGCTGCTTCCCACGGACACAGAGCGAGCTGGATTTCAAATCCAAGCTCATAATTCCTGTTGGCACATGTGAGGAGATGGCTGGCAGGGAGCATCTTGCTGGGAAGCACAAGGTTTGTAACCGAGAGCGATGGGAAGGGCCCTGGGATGAGCCCGGGTCGTGTTGTCACCACGTAACACAAACAAGGGTGTGCAACAGAAGGGCAGCCACACACAAATATACTCATTTAACCAAAACTCTGACAATTAAACCAGAGGTGGGGTGCTTGTGTGCAGTGAACAACTGCCCAATATTACAGAATAGGCATATTTGGGATATTTACTGCACGTACATGCAGAGAGACAAAAGCTTCACAGCTCCAAGGCTGCTTCCAAAAGGCACAAAGAATTCCTGTGGTGTGTCTAACAATAACTTCAAATATTCAAGTTTTCCTCTGGGTGCTTGCTCCCTGTGAAAGTCTGGATAGGTACTTTGGAAAAATAAGTTGTTTCAGTGAATGAAGCATCCAAAATATTTTAAAAATGTCTTTTCACACTGATAACTTTAAACGTGATGAGCAGCAATTCTGATAAAGTATTAAATAAGGCAACTGTAGGACTGCAAACAACCATGAAAATTTAAGATGGTAACTGGAAAATTAGGCCTTGTAATTAAATAGGTAAACAAAGCATAGAACTTCTGTAATTATAGAATAGAATCATTAAAGCTGGAAAGATCGTACAACATACCACCAAAAATCAAAAAGAGCTTTTAAAAATCAGAAAAAGGAAACATGAAATGAAAATATTAAGCCCTGGCGAACTCACACTTTTAAGACCAAAAAAAGACTATTAAATTCCTATCAATTCTGCTAAAATAACAAACAGCAGAAATGCAACTCAGTGAGGGAATTCAGGAAAACAGATTTTGTGTACACATGGCAGAGATGTCCACCAGCAGTGATTGTCAAGCTTTAAGAGGCAGTTTGAAACGCTGGATGCTGGTGAAAGACAACAACCCCCCAGCCTGGGCAGCGCTGTTTCCATCCCTGCATTTCTCTCAGCCTAACTCAGCTTGGCTGCAGCCGTTTCTGAGGCAAGTGGCTTTTATGTAGCAGTGTAAATTAGGCCACAGATAAAGTAATCTGTATATTTTAAGCTTGAAACCATCAGTGTCACAGAGCCGAGAGGTAAACAGATGCCTTTGCAATTTTACTGAGGCTACGGCCAGATGTTCCTATTCACTCTCCTGTTGTGTGCAGGACAAACATATTGTATCTACTTCCCACTGACAGCACACATTACCCACTGTTCTAATTGAAAAGTTGAAGTGAAGGGCGGTGTTTTTTCGCTGCATGCTGTTACTGTTGATAACAACACTTTAATTCTGAAAAGCACACTTGCACTTCGGGCTTAATCTGAAGTGGCTTTGCTCGGGGAGCGGCAGCGCCTTCGTGCTCCGAGGGCTGTCACCGCCCCTTCACTCAGCAAAAATTAAACATTCTGGAAGCATCCTTGGAATCATCTGCCTTCTGTGACATCAACTGGGAATTTTTTTTATTTTTTTTTTGCCTTTTAAATATGCTTTTTCAGAGGGATGGGTGTGATGAAGTTCAAGAGGTCTTTAGTTCCGTTGACACCTTTTATCGTCCAAGAATTAGTAATAAAGACACCCATAAGGTAGATTTACCTTAATCTCTTTTTCCTGTGGTTTTCTGCTATACCACAAAGTCACCAGAAGAGTAAAATAACTGTCCAAAAAGTACTGGAGAGGTGGAAAACTACAGCTGAGATCTTGCCCAGTGAGCTCAGGGACAGAAGTCCTGCTGACTGCCCTGACTGAGTTGTTCCACCACCTTTGTGCTGTGAGAAATTAGACCCAGCACAGACAAATGAGATGTCTCAATGTGCAGCCACAGCTGGAACCCCAGGCCAGGGAAGTGGATTCCCATGGCAGGATTCCCCCGTGAATGTGCTCCTGGACAGGTGGAGGCCTAACCTCTCATTTTAGGAGAAAGCTGTGTATGATTTATTCACCAGCGGGAGAAGCAAATCCCATCCATGAATATTTCATATTTATGCCATACACCCCAGCAACACATTTAATGCATCACTCCCATAACAACATTGTTCTTAAACCAAAGGAAACCCACCTAATTTGTCAGGATGAATTCCATGGATCAGGTACCTTGTAATTGCTTCAGCAAATCCAAAGCATTTGTAAATGTTATTTATTTATTTAGCTCTAACCTTTTATTTCTAACAGAAACTAATTCTCAGTGTATTATTCATGACCTACATTCTTAAACTGAACTTCTGTTTTGAGCCAAATGGTCAAGTATTTACTGAGTTCTTAAAGAGGAGCTTCACTGACTGAGACAAAGCAAGAATGGATAAAAACACAAAGATCTGACCTCATATAAAAATATTCCACCAAGCAGGATGATTTCAAAGCAATACAGTGTTTATATCTAGCTATAACTCACAGGAATTATCAGCAGGAAATGCAGATAACCAGAAAAGGAAGGAAGTAAACCATTTTTATGGTAAAATGCAGCACAGTCACCACCCAAAAGTCATTTTGCCAAGCCAACCTCCTTTATCCACGTCTGTCAGCAGAAAGAGGGAGAGGGGTAACTTGCTGCTGCCAACTGAAACTTCCCACTTCATCCTGAGCTTCCCAAAGACGTGACTGTGTCAGTAATGATGGGGCTTTGTCTGTTTTTATCTAATTTGTTTAAAATGTAGAGGCCACCAAACTCACACCACGTTAAACCGGGAGCGAACGAGTTTCACCCACAGCAACACCCCTGGTTGTTGGAAGCTTACTTCCCATTTGGAGGGAAGGTGTTAAATTTACTTTCAGTGGCTAATATTCCTTGTTTTCCTGAACTGGAACACCCCAGAAATGTACCTGGGACAGCCACTCCTCGTCCTCCTGCCCGCTGTGGTCGGAGGCCAAGCTGTCGTACGACTCGTGCCGGGTGATGGGCCCAGGGCTCCCCGGTGGCACCACTGAAAAAGAGCCAAAACAAAATGAAAAATCAGATCTGCTGTTAAATGAATAAAAATCAGATCCACTGTCAAATGAATAATATAATAACTTTTTCAATAAGTTATTGGTACAGCAATTTTCCTAAAATCTGCGACAACAGATTTCCTAGAAGCGCAGAAAGAGCTCAAATGTTGACATCAAAAGGGATGACAAGATTCCCGTTCTTTAACTTGGATGCATCCATAGAGCCATTGGGAAAAACCATTGGCTCTTCTCCTTTTAACCTTAAGTTCTTAAAATACTGAAATATTTTTACAGTCACACAATTTTAAAATCACTCAGAGTTTTGAAAATTATTTTTTGCAAATTAATTTTTCAAAACTGTGTTATTGCAGGGTCGACCTTTCTGTGTCAGGTTTCCAACCACTACAAATGTTTCCAGCCATGCTGTAAACCCCCCAATAACTGGAGTTTTAATGGCAAAGCATAAATACCCATAAATACGGAGCGGCGTCTCTGGAACGTGAACAGCACAGGGGCTGCAGAAATCCATGGAATAAAGGGAATCTCATCCTGCTTGTGTGAGTGAGTGTCTCAAGCTACGGAGCCATGAGATACCATGCACTGGATATTGGGAAGGAATTCTTGGCTGTCAGGGTGGGGAGGCCCTGGCACAGGTTGCCCAGAGAAGCTGTGGCTGCCCCATCCCTGGGAGTGTCCAAGGCCAGGTTGGAAAAGGAGCAACCTGGGATAGTGGGAGCAACTTGGGATAGTAGGAGGTGTCCCTGCCCATGGCAGGGGGTGGAATAGATGATCTTTAAGGTCCCTTCCAACCCAAACCATCCCATGCTTCCATGATCTGCCACACTCCCTGCACACAGCCCTCCACAGCCCCTGGTTCAGCAGTGTCTCTTCACCAGTTTTCAGACAATATAAAAACTGCCTTCAACTGCTCCATTGCAGCCATGTCAGACCTAAGTCAACAACTTTGGGATGTGTCTGTCTAGTCCACACCAAAGAGAACACCCCCACCCCCTTCCTGGGTCACAAACACCTGAGGATTCCCAGGAAAATCTGAATATGAAACCACAGTGCCCAACTTTAAAGCTCTATATTTGAAACCAAAGAAACAAACCCTTCTTCTGACACGTTTTGCTGTTGCCCTGATGTTCCCCACATCCCCTGGCTCCCTCCACTAAATCCTCCTGCCTGTTCCAGAGGGCACAGCTGATCAACTGCAGGCTTTCCTGTTATTGAACTCCCTGACAGGCTCTTTGTGGCTCCAGCAGATGGTTTTGCTTTCAAACCAACGGGAACTTTATGGACTGTTCTGAATTTTTTTTGTTCTTTCTATCCCAGGGGCAACTACTAGAGCTGTCAAGATTAGGGAAGCTGCAAAAACACAGCCCAGGGAGCAGCATCCCCCCTGCTCGCTCACCGGATTTCTCCCTCGTGGAATGACTTCTACGTTTTCCTGGAGCTCCGAGACAGCTTTACAGTAAGGAAGAAATTATAAAAAAAAAAATAAAAAAATTAAAAAGCTGAAAAAAATGATCAGTTTGGATGCTGTGCTGCAAGGCTCTTCCCGAGGAATCACAGCTTTGCACAGGTCTTGTGCCTCCCTGCAGCTCCCGAGCGCGGCGTTAACTCTTTCCACCCAAAAAGTGACGACATGCTGAATTCCACGGCAAAGCTCTGCCTCAGAGTTCACCAGCAGGGCAGCACTGATAAAGCCTCAGCTGGGGTCAGCCCTCAGTAATTTATTTGCCTATTTAATAAACCAGTGTTTCTGTCCCACACCTATCACAAAAGCAGCGTTTAGAGGGGCAGGTTTGGATCCGTATCTGGGATCCCTAACGTTGCTCCCAGTCTCCACTCCCACCATTCCCAGTGTGCTGGGAGATAGGACTTTCTAAGACAAGTGATCCTTGCTGGAGATTTGCCATCCCTGTGCTGCTTATTCCACATACACATATGGTCATTTTTTTTTTCCAAGTTTAAAATGCCCTTGAAGTTACAGGAACAAACACGGTCTGAAAATGCAAACCCCATTTTCCCCCCTCATTTCTGGGTCACACACCTCTCACATCAGTATCAAGTTCCAAGATGAGATTAATTTAAGCCCAGAGGGACATTTCCAGGAATTTGAGCTCAAAAGTAATCTTTTATCTTCCAGCTTAATTCTTTGAAAATCTGAATTCACACTGGAAATTACGGCAGCCTCTCCCCCATCAGTGGGGCTTTTCTCATGCTGCAGCAAAGAATTGTTTCAATTTCCCAAGAATTTCACTATCAGACAGGATATAAAATAATTAAATTAAATTATTCCGAAGCTTTGCAGCAAGCAGTGTTTTTTCTGGCACTCCTGGAATTCCTCTTTCATTGGGACAAGTCACAAATGGAGCACACACAGACCAGGAGCAGGCAAACCTTTGCTGCACAGAGGTATTTTACTGGCAATTGCAGGTGGTTTGCACCTTCCTCAAATAATCAATTCAATGCCTTGTGTCAGAGCTGTGCCAATTTTTAACCTTTTCTGTTCTTACACCAACATCTGGAACAAACATATATCAAATATCAGAATGCAACTGAGTTTGTTTAATTGAGAAATAGACTAATGGGAAGTGAAAAAGTACAAAGAAAACGAGTGTTTATTAAAAATCTAAGGTGAGACTTAGAACATACAATTTCTGTCCACGCAGTATGACAGGACATGAGTTTCTAAAGTCTGCTTGTAAAGGCTAATAAATCTAAAAATAAGCATTTAAAGGCACTTCTGAAAAACTGCACTGGTACCTGCAGCAAAAATCAGGGTTTGGCCATAAATATTTGGCAAGGGGCAAAAACCAGCTCTGAGTTGCCCAAAAGGAAGAGCAGCACTTTTAAGCTCTGTGATGCAGATCAACTCTAAATGTGGAATATATTCCTGCCCCTCCACCCTGAGCAGCTCTGCTGAGCCTCTCCACATTTAACCAAAGGGGCTGAAAGAAACCACATTACAAATGAAGTTATTTGTGTGATAATTGTCAGTGCCAGGAAAGCTGCACAGAAGGGACTGTGGGGACACAGATTTCAACACAAGCCAAAGCAAAGGCTGAAATACAGCAGAGCTGATATTTCCCTGGAATTCTCTGGATGTGATTCACACACTTTCATGATTGAGTATAAAAAAAAAAACCCATTGTTTCAAAACTTCCCCGTGACATTTAGTGACAAGTAAAGAAAACAAACAATTTGTATTAATCTCAAATAATTTGCATAGACATTTCTGACACGTGAGCAGCACCCAGACAAATACTCACGTTTGAGGAATACTGGAATTAACATGCAGCGGGTTTGTTCATAGATGGGCTAATTATACAATAAATACCTAGAGCAAAGACAAATCTTCATTCAAAGATTATAAATTGTCATCTTTCAGCAGCATGAAAGTGTTGGAACAAAGAACCACTACAGCTCAATTGTAGTGCGTGCACTTATGGTTTTAATTTGGGAACAATAAATCATTAGTTTTACTTAGTGCTGTGTACTCCTCGAACCAAAAGGTTTTAATTTTCTCATTTATATAAATAAGCTTTGCACAAGTCAATTTAATTGAGAGTTATATATGAAATTCCCGATGTGCTCTTCTCTAAGAATGTTTGTCCAAACTGGGAGCAAACAAAGGCGCTCGAGGACTATAAAGCCTATTTGTTTGGTGCACATGCCTGCAGACAGCCCCAGAGCTTGCCTTTATTCCAGCTAAATACACACTTCCAGGTTGAAATAAGTTTCTAAAATCCAGTAGAAACAGGCCAATGTACTCCTAACCAATCCATTCAGCTCTGGTGGCAAAGAGGTACTCGGGATAAAAGGACACATCCTTGGTTTCGTACAAATCCCACCCTAACATGTGATTTTGATGCTTTTCCTGTGGTTCCTCAGTTATACCTAAAACAACCAGAGGTGGTTTAGAGACCTGAGGTAATCACAGGCTTGTCAACAAGCTTCAGGAGTGCTTCTCCCCAGTTGGATTTACTTCATGCTCCTCCTGGAAGTGCTGGCATTGGTTACCCCGTGTCACCCACGACAAGCACGAGGGGATGGTTCTGCTTTAGGTCTGCAGGCAGCCCCTTCAAATTCACCTCACAGATGTGATCTCCCTCCTGTCAGGGGCTGGTTTTGGTGTCCCACAGTCAGGTTTGCCATGGAGAGCACACCCAAGGAGCCCTCAGTGAGTTTGTGTCAGTGACTTGGGGCTCTGTGCCTGCTCTCCCTCTGCTCGCGTCTGACAGTCAAGAGAAGATCAGAGGTTCATTTGGAATGCTCACAGCCATGGTTACAATAAACTCTTTGCAGTCTGGTGATATGCTCTACTTGTTTTTACTTGTGGCTCTGTGTTACTGAACCAAGTTCTGGTTTTAATGCAGCTTTCAGCTTGTAAACTTCTGCAGGAGCACAGCAGGCAAATTAAAATATCTCCTTTTACCCAAAACTTCTCCCCACTCACTTTTTTTTCCTGTGAGGACTTTCTGACATCCTTATATACATAAATATCATAAAATTAAGCTTAAAAAAAAGCCCCGTAAAGTAGTTTAGTTGGGCTACGAGTTATTTCACCCCAACAACTTATTGGAGCTTTATTCAGTCATTATTCGTGTACTGCCCAAAGTTTATAGGTGCTTTATGGACCATCCATTCTCTGTATCAGCATTTTAATACAGGAATAAGTAGGTCTGTAATCAGGATATGAATTCTCCTCAGATCTTCCCAGCTTTGATGACTGCTTTACCTCCTCCTTACTTACACTGGTCTGATGGTCAACAGCCTGGAGGTTTTTTCCCCAAAAAAGGTGTTTAAGCCTCACCATCACTCCTGGTTGTACTGCAAGACCGGTATATATTCCCTGTGCTTAATTCCAGCTTCCATCTCTAAAGTTCCCTTAGGAAACCAGCCAAGCACGATGAACTTTCAGGCTGGGCAGAGCTAGAACCTGATATTACTCACAGTCCAGAGCACCTTAAGGCTCAGACTGTGAGCA